AGACTCATTCTGGCCCTAATATACTAGTAAATGTGTTATGTGACGCAGACAGGTCCTGTTTTCTCTGGGCCTCCATGTCTCTGGAGGATAATTACTAGTATAACTAGCAACTCACAAGAGCAGGCTTATACTTTATAAATACTTGGGAAGATGTTCTGCCTCATGGTGGTCAAAGAAATAAAAGTAATCAAATGTCATCTTTAAAAAAAATATTTATTGTTGAGAGTATTACAGATGTTCCCTCTTTCTCCCCCCGCATTGTCCCCCCCGCCACCCAGTTCCCACCCGGTCCCAGACCTCCACCACCCTATTGTCAGTGTCCATAGGTAATGCATATGTTATTTGGTTAATCTCTTCCCACACACCCCCTTCCCTCTGAGATTCATCCATCTGTTCCATGTTCCCATGCCTCTGGTTCTATTTATTCATCAGTTTATTTTGTTCATTAGATTCCTTGTTTGTTTATTTTGGTTTTTAGGTTCAATTGTTGATATGTATATATTGCCATTTTATTGTTCATATTTTTTATCTCTCCTCCCCTTCCTCTTCCCTTCCCCCTCTGCCTCCTCTCCCCCCTCTCCCTCCTCCTTCTCCTCCTTCTCCCACTGAAAGGTCGCAGGTTTGATTCCAGTCAAGGGCACATACCCAGGTTGCAGCTTGATCTCCAGTGGGAGGTTTGCAGGAGGCAGCCAATCACTGATTCTCTATCATCATTGATGTTTCTATCTCCCTCTCCCTTCCTCTCTGAAATCAATAACTATGTATTGAAAAAACAGTCCTATAAAGAAAAATAATTCCTCTGCCCTCGCCAGGGAAGAGAGGCCTGCTATGCCCATCTGGGGGAGGCTCCTAATCAGAGAATGCATTCAGCCTTTAGAATGTGGCGACATTCTTTGGTGGAAAGAACGCTGAACGAGGAATCTGGAGCTCAGAGCCCTGGGTTTCAGTCCTGGTGCTTTGGCTCCGAAGCTGTGTGATGTTACACACACTTCCTCCAGAAATTTCCTTTACCAAGGAATACAGCTAACTCACCTGCTTTGGACTCCAGGCTGAGGCAACTGTCCGAGTTCTCTGAATGCCCATTCTGGTTCAACTGTGCCTTGCTTTTTTTTTTTATTTTT